GGTTGGAAATATCTACCTTGGCTTCCTTAACTTGTGCAACTTCAACAGGAGCAGATTAGCCTCCAATTCTCACTCCAACAACCTTCCCAGGAAAGCTATACAATTACATATAAAGGTCCAAATAAGCAAAATGAATATAAGTACAAATTAAAAGTCAGATATATACACAAAAATATATAATTGTAAACGACCAAAAATAGATTCTGGAAAGGCTTCTTCAAAAGTAAAAGAGTAATCTACAAAAAATTGACATTTTTTAAATGGGCTCTCACCGATTTCAACAAAAGGAGTAGACCGAAGATGGAAAGGAGAGCGTCGTCCCCGTTTGAGAGTTGAGGTGAGAAATGCAGTGTGATCGAACTCCGTTTCAAAAGCGGCTCGACTACAAATATGGGCTCTCGCCGACCGAAGATGGACAGAATCGCGCCATCTGCAACTTGGGTCGTCGTCGATTGAGAGCTGAGGCGAGAAAGGAATGGATAAGAAATAGGTTAGAATTGAATTTGAATTTCGTCTGCAGCTCACGCATTTTTTTCTTTCTTTTCTTTTCTTTTTTTTTTTTTTTGCCCTTCCCTTGTGCGGGAAATTGGGGCAGCATTTTAGTTGGAAATACTGTTGCAGCTATCCTTCTTTAATATAGTATAAGATAAGATGATTATTGTGTCCGACATTTTAACGTCTCTAAAAATAAAAAATAAAAAAATTATGTTTTCATGGATTCATAAATTCCTCCCCGTGTTCTACAATCACAACCACCATTTTGCATATTACAATAGGGAATTGTTTTGTCTTCCGTGCAATATTCTTATGATTGTGACAATAAGGTATCGTCTGAAATTCTGCTTTCGGTGTGACATGCAAAAATTGTGGTTATTAGCGACATTATTTATGTCACTGCGTTCATGTGACTTCAATTGTGAAATACAATAATTTCGACATTTGTAGTTAACATATAGCCCTTGTTTGGGCTGCATTAAAATCAAATTTGAAAAAAAAAAATGTATTTTAGATAATGATTTTTCGAAAAAATGCGTGGTTAAAAAAGAAGAAAAATTTTTGTATTTACCAGGGACGGATCCAGGATTTTCGATAGTGAAACCGAAACTTAGAAAGCTAATGTAATAAAATTTATTTAAGCCATTCTCAACGAGGATTTAAAATATAATATTCATCTACATCAGAATCTAAATCTATCTTCTCAACAAGTTTTCGATCGATAAAAAGTATCACAACATGAAAGTCATCCTCCATTTTTATTGCGAAGGATCACCTCCACATGTTTCATTACAGAAAATGTCAATTAAGTACCGCGATAGAGACGTGAAATATTAATACAAGACGAATCAATCTAGTCGCCATAATATAAGTTTTCAACCTTCCACTCTCAGTTAACTGTCTGCATAACTTATCATGGAGTGTACTTTTAGATTGACTAGTCTTTTTAAAGAGTTAAAATAGTATCTTTACTCTCTTTGATAAAGTTCAACTTTCCATTTGTAAATGCTAAAAAAATGGAGATTAGCAACAATTATCCAATTAAAAGAATTAATGCAACAAAAATTCAAAATATGCCGACAAGGCAACAAATATTCAACAAAATAAGTGAGTGTGCTAGAGCATTCTACGTAACACATCTGCGGGCGGAGCCAGCCAGTTGAACTAGGGAGTTCCCGGAGTTGAAGGGATGTGGGCCCCCCGAAATTTTTTTTTGAAATATTATGTGTTAAAATGAGGAAAGTTGGTATTTTGTGATAGAGAAAGGAAACAACATAATATAAATTAATGTACGAAGACTTAACAAAAAAATCAAGAAACGTATAAAAGAAAGTACTAATATTTAATTTAGCAAAATCATATCTTATTACAAGTGTTCCTTTCGAGTTCTCATACTTTGAGAAATTAATGTCAATATCAAAAGCTTGTATAATAACGGGTATGCTTCATGTTTTTTTGTCGCAATCAACTTTTGTGCAAGTTTACAAAGGTCTTGTAATCCTACAAATTCTGGATTAGTTAGGAGATAACTAAAAAAAAATTTGAGCCCAAAAGTTCAGGG